AGGTACTTATATAAACTTACTTACAAAGTGCCACGATCCGCCAAGTATTGAAGCAGGGTCCCCCACTTCCTGAAACTTCCACACCTTTTTCAAGTTGATTAGGACATTGCTTGGTTCTATTCCAAGTAATCAGCGTCAACGGGAGGGTATACCTAACATAGGGGCCAAAATAATTACCACTACGATTTTGCGGGTTCCTTTCTAAACGTATAGTATAATGGGCACCAAAGCCCTATTCTAATTATCAAGGCCTCTACATTTTTTTTTTTAAAGGCCTCTCCATCATCTTTGCTCACCTCTCCAGGGCCCCAAGCCCCAAACCCCAGGAGCCCCTCGAGTTCCCAGACCTTCCAAAACCCATTAATCAAGGAATATACCTTAAATTAGAGTAGGATCCTTAATATGGTTTAGGGTGCAGGGTTTAGGGTTTAAGGTTTAGGGTTTAGGGTTTTTAATTAAGGGGTTTTGGAAGGTCTGGGTTCTTATTAGCAGTCTTCCCTCCACCCTAAACCCTCCACCCCGAGCTCTCGACTCGGGCAGGCGTAAAAGTCACCTTCCTGTAAAAAGGAACCCTAACGCCTGAACCCTAAACCGAAACCCTACACAATGGGAGTTTCCGAAAAATAGGGGACCCAAATATAGCACCCGAAATAGTAGGATCCCTACTACAAAGGACCCCCCAAAAGATGGTACCCCCCCTACTTTTTCAAAAATCCTAAACCCGAAACCCTCTATGTAACCCTTATAGATCCCTTTAAGGAACCCTTTAAGGGTACCACCGAATTTTCGGAAAACCCCTACAAGATCGCCAATACGACTGAGGAGCGACCCCTTCACCCGGCCGTGCAGAAGTTCATGGAGGAAAGGGGCATCAAGGCGAGGGTTTAGGGGTTAGGGGTTTAGGGTTTAGGGTTTAGGGGTGAGTCTCTAGAAGGGGGCATCAAGGCGAGTGGTTGTCAATATTCGGGTCCCTTTTTGGGTCCTTATTATAATAGGGCACCTAATATTTGGGGGTTTCCGAAAATAGGGGGACCCTAATTAGTACCCGAAATAGTAGGATCCTTATTATAAGAACCCCCATATAAGGTACCCCGAATTTTCGGAAACCCCCATTTAGGGTACCCCAAGAAGGGGGCCATAATTTTGACAACCACCCAGGCGGGTCTCTGGGAAGCCCCGAGGGTTTCGGGGGGTCTTTAACTGGGTACTACTATTTGCTTAAGACACCCCCCAAAAATAAAAATAGTAATCCCCATATTACCCCCATAAGGAATATATTTTTTATTTTTTGGGGGGGCTCTTAAGCAAATAGTAGGGTAGTCCTTTGGGATCTTTTTTGGTTTCCCCTAATATGGGAGTTTCCGAAAACGGGGGACCTAATCTAGTACCTTAAATAGTAGGATCCTTATTAAAGGGACCCCAAAATAAGGTACCCCCCAATTTTCGGAAACTCCCATATTTTGTAGAGACCAGAATAGTACATGATTTTCAAAGGGCTTAAAGGACAACTCAGTTAAGGGCCCCTTTAAAGGGTAGTAGAAAAGTTCCTTTAAAGGTCTCTGTAGGAGTTTGGGGTTTGGGTCTAAGGGCTGGGGGTTTAGGATCGGGCTCAGAGAGCGTCGGCTTGGAGAATGGGCATGCGTCGTATCATAGGGGCCTAAACAGTTACCTATCCTATTTTGGGGAGTTCCTTGTTATAAGTCGTAGAGTATAATTAAGGCCCCTATATTACACATCTCTGTCACCGGAACCACTTTAGCAATCATCAGAAGTGATGTGTGAACTGCTCCGTGAAGCTGAAGAAGCAACAGGTAAGCATTTACTCAAAAGCTGTGTTTTCCGTAGCATGAAGTACCACGCCAAGGTGTGCTGCAGTTTCAAACTTATGCCCCTGATGATTTTGATGAATGAAGTGTTTTTTCCTGTATGCGCGCATGAGCATTTGATCCACCAATTTTCAAAGCTCGGTCTGGCATGGGGTTCCAAGGTCTTGGTTGGGGAGCATGGGGCACGGTTGGGCCTTGAACAGCTCTGCCTCCGACAGTGTTGTCCTACGTCGTACGTTTTCCCCTTCTTCAAAACAAAACCTAAGACGGCCCGTGGCACTTGCAGCTTCTCATCCATTGCCTTTTCCGCTGAAACCAGTTCAGCGACTTGTTTGATGCGTGCTGATGCACTCTGATGCGACATGATATTGGCCGTATAGCTGCGTCCCAGTCATGGAAACGTGACGGTCACCGACGAGACATCGGCATGGGAAGTCTCCGCGGACGTAGCCGCGGCTACCATGCGGATGACCAAAGGCCAGGTGCTCGGCAATACATCGGCCATCATGCCTCTCAACAGGTTACGTTCTGAAATTTTGCAGCTCGCAGTTTGCGCAGGAGCATTTTGTCGCATGTTCTCGGCCACATGCACAAAAAGTCATGAGCAATACAGCCTGGGTTTGGACATCTAAGGTCCCGATGAAAAAGGCTTCTGCGAGTACACATATGAAGAGAATATACTACGCCAAGCAGCACCTCAAGCTGCAGATTAGCTGCCAGATGCCATGCAAAGCCTTCTCGGGTGCTTGCCATGATCCTTCTGAAGGTCGTCTCAACAGAAGCTATCTTGGAGGAAGTCGGTGTTGCAATGATGGACAAAGACGGGACCGTGCACACCTTCCAGTCCCTGATCGGTCTGTGTGTTTGTCTGCCTGCCTGCTTGGCTGTCTGTCATAAATGTACTAGGTACCCAGCTGAGGTTGGGAGATGTGCTGATCTACAGCGAAGAGCCTGTACGCGAGATATGGCCTGTTCCCGAAAGTCATTTCCGCGCGAGGTACACAGAGCTGGAGCAGGTCCAACGGATGTTGGCTTTAAGTGGCTGCTCTTTGACTGCCTTGCTGCTGCCTCTACCGCAAGGACCCGCATCGGACTCGCACCATTTCGCGTTTGTGTCTCAGGCATCACACGGGAGTGCCGATGCCGTGCCTTTTTGATAGTGTGCTCAGGCTCGCGCAGCCGCAGCCGACGATGACAGCTGAGAGAAGGCAACGGAGCGCTCATAAGTTTTCGATTGTTTCCGAGGTCGGCCATGAAAAAAGTGATCGCGCAATGGTTCAGCATATGAAGCACTGGCCGAACTCCTGGAAACGCCACCTGCATCCAGCGACTCGCTGCCGCCATTAAAGTTGCCCAGCAGTTCGTAGCTAGTTTGAATCCTAAAATGACATGTTGCATTGCTTTTGCCTTCCTGATTGAGCATACGGGCGATAGCATTGAGACCACTGCGCGTCGCTTAGGCCAGGGTTTCTCAGTTAATATGGAAGCCTTAAAAATTCCTATACTGTTTTGGTAGTATAATGGGCCCCAAAACCCTGTTCTATTTATTAAGGCCCCTACATTACGTCGGACGGTTTCGGCGAAGGGCTCTGCGAGAAGTTTCGGAAGCCATGAGCGGCTAGCGCCTGAGAGCTCAAAAATCCTTCACCCCCCTACTTAGAGGATCATGGGACTTAGTAAATAAGGTTATAAGTACCTTAATTGGGGTTATATGTATAGTTACCCTAATTATAACCCTAGTTACTAAGTCCCATGATCCTTTAAGTAAAACCTATACCCTGAACCCTCAACCCTATACCCTAAGCCGTAAACCTCAAACCCGACGGCAATGGCACCTCAGGTCCTTCGCTCAAGGGCTCCAAGTTCTCCAAACCTCCAACCTCGAAGGTCCCACGATGCATTCTTACTATTGTTAGTATTATCGTTACTGCCATTTTTGATTACTAATACAAATATTGTTGGTAGTAGTAGTAGTAGTAGTAGTAGTAGTAGTAGTAGCAGCAGTACTACTACTACAATTACTGTTATTATTGTTGGTAGCAGTCTTCTTGCTGATGTTTTTCCATAACCCCTAAACGCTAAAGCCCGAAGCTTTGGTTCTTCTTGCGCAACAGAATCCATTGGCTCCGTCCTAGCGATGCGAGCTGCGAGAAGAGGTCCCGTGGAAGCCATGCAGCTTCTTTAATCGATAACATAGGAGCCTGAATAATTCCTCACATTAGTCCTTCGGGTGTGTCGTCACATTTATGCCAGAAGCTACCCCCAAACCTTATTCTAGCTTAGTACCCCATGACGCCGAAAAATTCGAGCAATCGGCCTCCAAAGGTAAGCTCCGGAATGTAGGGCCTTCATAATTACCAATACGTTTTTTGCGTTCTTTTTTATATAGTTAGAGTATAGTGGGCCCCAAAACCCTATTCTGATTATTAAGGGCCCTATATTAGACATTCTGATTTGCAACCAGGAATTCTGAGGGCTTGAGGGGTTGAGTAGGTGTTAACAGGGTTTTGCATGGTCTAGGCTGCAGGTCTTATGGTCTACATTAACAAGGCCGGACCCCTAAACCCTGAACCGTATAGCACCACCAACAAGGGACTCCCTGATGCGATCTCCGAAGCCTCGTGGCAACAGCTTAGGAAGCACTTTAGGCGACCCAGAAGTACAGTTCGTCAGATCAAAGGTGTATTAGGGCCTTTAAAAAGAGAGTTCAGTGTTCGAGGTCCTTGGGGTCCACAGTTGAGGGGTTTAGGGTTTGGGGGATGTTATGGCTTGGGGTTTAGGGTTTGGGGTTTAGGGCTTAAGCTCTAGGGCCGTAGGGTTAGGGTTGTGTCTTAGGCCTTAAGCCGACACCCGAAGCCCTACTTAGCTGTTAAGCCGCAGTTTACTGTAAGCCACCAGAATCTCCTAAATCCTAAACCCTAAACCGTTTCAGGGGTTTCTTGTGCATATTTTGCTAGAAAGGAGCGTGCTGAGCCGCCAGCGTTTCAGGCTCGCGCCATCCGGGGTTTAACACTGTTCCCATTAGCATCCCTCTTCCCCTTAAGGACCTTCGAAGCTTATGAATTATTGAAGACCTCACTATCACTTCTAACTGCTGACTATAGGCCCTTTATACGCTGAGAGTTTCTGAATCCTCCGACGAACCCGTCTTCTGGCAACCCGGCTCCTCGCATCATGGCCCTTGTATTGCGCTTCGGGCTCCTGATGGTGACTTGGCTGCCTTAAAGGATCATGGGACTTTGTAAGTAGTCTATAATTTGGGTTATAAGTCCGCTAAGTGGGGTTATCCTAAACTACTGAAACCTTACTTTCTGAACCCCATGAGCCTTGAAGTCATGAGAATCTTGATTTATGCTCTGCGCTGGGCAGACGGGAAAGCTGCCCTCGCCCATGACGCAGTGATTTCGGACATACAGGCAGAAAGAAGCCGGCATTTACTGTGGCTTGACGCTTTGCGTAGTCAGAGCTACAGTGAGCATAACATAACCGGGCAGCTGCATCCGTGTCACAGCAAACCAGCAAACAAACGGACACACATAAACCCAGTAAGGGCCTCAAAAGCCAGACGTTTTGTAAGAACATACAAGTACCCAGAGACCGATATTCCTTAAATTTTAGAAGGATCTCTAATATGGTTTAAGGAATACTGCTTAATTAAGCGATATTGGAGTCTCTGGGTATACTTTGCCGTAAACTGCTTCGAGTGTGCTCAGGTGATCCAGGTCGTCCCGACCGTCCAGCGTGGAATCGGGATGTTGGTTGGAGACTGTTTTCCCTAAACCCTGGGCCTTAAGCCTTCTGATTTGGGCAAGTCGCTTTGCCCCTTAGGATACTTAGTATACCTTTTTCACGTCCCGAACTCTGAAGTCAGAGCTTTGCGACTCAAGCGCTCCGAAACCCAGGAACACATGAGCTGACAGAGCCAGCAGTGCCGGCAACTCGAATTGGTGTCGCTATTCTTCCAAGCGTCAGCCGTGGCGGCAACAGCGATGCTCAGAAGGACTCCAGAGCATCCTAAGCCTGGCGTCGATCACAGGAAAACCCAGTGACAGTCCAGTTCAAGTCCCAATTCTCTAGATCAAGAACCCCAAAAGCCCAGAGACTCCAATCTCCCTTAATTCAGGAATATACCGTAAATTATAGTAGGATGGATCCTTAATATGATTTAAGGAGATCTATTTTATTAAGCGATATATCGGAGTCTCTGGGAACCCCGTACGGTAATCGTCACAGAGCCCTTTTTGCAGGAGCCCTTTCAAAGGAGCTCTAGGCCCCAAAGCTCACGCAGGTAAACCCGAAACCCGCTAGTTTGTCCCTGTATCCCAAAGATATGGGAGTTTCCGAAAACAAGGGGTACCTTACTTTGGGGGCCCTTATAATAAGGATCCTACTACTCAGGTTGCTATATTTGGGCCCCCTATTTTCGGAAATCCCCATATAAGCCAAGAGCCCTGTAGTGCCTGTATACCAAACCCCCAAACCCTAGGTCCCAACTACCTAGATGAGTATGGCAAACCTCATAGACCCCTTTTGCAGGAACCCTGTTTAAAGGAGCCCTAAACCCTAAACCGAAGCTAAACCCTAAACATCCCTCCTTATAGGAACCTTTATAGGGTCCCTTCAGAGGAACTCTGATAGGATCCCAAAACTCGCGAGGACGACTTGGGGGACTCTACTCTCGACCAAGGGCGGATCCTTGAGTCTTTGTCATAGTTGGGTAACATTTTACATTTTTTTGGCACTTAAAATGAAACCCAACAAGGAATAAAAAAAGGCTCATTTTTTATGGGTACTAAAACCCAATAAGGAGTAAACAATTCATTTTTTATGGGTACTTGAACCCAATAAAGAATAAAAAAGTTCAAACGTTCTGGATACTTAAACCCAATAAGATATAAAGAAGTTCAATTTTATGGGTACTTAGTCTCAATAAGGAATACAAAGTTCATTTTTGGTGGCTACTTAAACCCAATAAGGATTAACAAAATTCAATTTTTATGGGTACTTAAACCCAATAAGGAATAAAAAAGTTAAATTTTTCTGTGTACTTAAACCCAATAAGGAATAAACAAGTTCAATTTTTACGGGTACTTACATAATCCCAATAAGGAATAAACAAGGTCAATTTTTGTGGTTACTTAAACCCAATAAGGAATAAACAACTTCCATTTTTTGGTACTTAGACCCAATAAGGAATAAAAAAGTTCAATGTTTATGGGTACTTAAACCCAATAAGGAATAGAAAAGTTCAACTTTTATGGGTACTTAAATCCGATAAAGAATAAAAAGGTTCAATGTTTATGGGTACCTAACCCAATAAGGAATCAAGAAGTTCAATGTTTATGGGTACTTAAACCCAAGAAGGAATAAACAAGGTCAATTTTTATGGTTACTTAAGCCCAATAAGGAATAAAAAACTTCCATTTTTTTGTACTTAGACCCAATAAGGAGTAAAAAAAAAGTTCAATGTTTATGGGTACGTAAGCCCAATAAGGAATAACAAAGTTCAGTTTTTATGGGTACTTAAACCCAATAAGGAATAAACATTTCAAATTTTTTCCTATCCCAACCATGAACTAGGAGTGGCTCGCCGTCTTCGGCAGCTTCGGGGCTTGCCTCAGCGCCCTTGCTCCTGGGACTCTCTTGGAGGGTCATTATTTTGCATAAAACTATATAGGTATCTACAGATGTATGTGTACACATATATATATATATATAGAGAGAGAGATATTCATACATATATATATATATATATAATTATACATATACCTATATACATATACATATAGAGGCTACAGTTCAGTACAATGTATCCTTGCTCCTGGGATTCTCTTGAGGGCAAGAACCGTAGTACTATAATACAGTAGAATATATGAATGTAGTATAACAGCATCTAGTACAGTGAGTTATCGTGAGACAGGGCCCGGTGCTGATGTTCGGGTTAGGCGCTTCCCTCTCCCAGACTGAAGGAAACCTTAAGCAAGCACAGGGGGAACTCCAGCCCGATGCGAAAACTGGCATACACCCCTTTGGCTAGGTACATAAATGTACTAAGTATGTACATAATACATATATACGCATACATTTGTATATTTATTTGTATTTAGACTTATGTTCACTTGTACATGCATATCTGAGCATATATGTATGTGTATGTATAAAAACATATACATACGGAGAGGGAGAGAGGTAGAGAGAGAGAGAGAAGGAGAAGAAAGAGAGAAGAGAAAGAGAGAGGGTGAAGCGAGAGTGAGAGTGATATTGAGAGTGAGATTGAGAGTGAGAATGAGAGTGAGAAAGAATCACATGATAAATGTGATGAATGTTGATCACAGGCTTGGTTCTGCGGTACCAGCTGCCGGCGGCGCTGGAACAACGGCTACCAGCTCGTGGCCGACTCCACACATGCCATGTTCCTCCGTCTAAGGTAGACTAAGATATTATAACCACTACTGTATTCCCTCGGGTTCCTTTACGAGTCCTACAAACGCCACTATAAGGGATACTACAAAAGGTATAATATACATAGAAATACCATTCCTTATGGGCCTGAATGATTAGATATCATTCGTTAAGGTTCTGCATCAGTCAGTATTATGTCTGTATACTGCTCCCTTCAATAAGCTGTTTTCAATGTTAAGGCCCCTATGTTGGCGAGATTTGTCGGCTTCGTAATTTCGTCATGGTTTTGTTCAGCAAATGGCGTTCGATGCTTGGGGAATCCATTAGGGGTGTCCAGGCTCATCCTGCCGGATGACACGCCCTTGATGGAGGGGGACAGCGTGCAGTACCTCACTGGTGGCGGCAAGCGTCCTGCTCAGGATTGAGGCATCTGTCATCTACACCTCCACAACACCGATGGGCCTTAAATCCCAGACTTTAACATAAGTTAAGCTCCAAAGCATCCTTCCAGCGCAAAACCCCAAGACGGTAGAACCCATTATCAAATCCTTGCGTGCTTGGCTTTGGTTTCTCCCGCCGCACTTTGCAACAGTACAGTAGAACTGTACCGGCTCGAGTGTGGCGATTTCTACTCTTCCAAGTGTACAAAGGTACGATGTCCTGGTCCGGAGCATCGAACCCGATGGGTATGGAGGCGCGTTGGGCAAAAAAACATCATGTAGATGTGTATCTGTGTGATTAATGTATGTATGTATGTATGTATGTGTGTGTCTATATGTCGACATTTTTATGTTCAAAGATATCCCCTAAAAGCTTGTGTTCAATTTGTTAAGGGAGTTTAGGCCTAGAGGAAGGCTTGGAAAGCCCATGAGAATCCAGATTCCAGCCCTCTACACCAACCCTCCTTGAATACCCTACACCCCCAAACCCTAACCCTAAATCCCAAAGCCCTCAACCCCTCAACTCCAAACGCCTAAACTCTAAACGCTGTTTTGGAGGCGGAACACTGACCTTTGAGCTGCCCTCTTGGAGTTCCGAGAAGGCGCGGTCTTCCAAACAGAGCTTCACTTTGAAGCAAGCTTGCAACCGGGGTCTGCAGACGCTATTCCTTCCTAGGGCTTCGTTACGGGTTCTAATAAGCGAGGGTTCTGCAATGTCGATTCGAGGGCGTTGTTTGAGAGGGTATAACTATGATGATTAGCTGTGCGGTGGCTGAAGCGTTGAGGGTTCCGTGACTTCAGGGCTTAGGTTCAGGCCGAGGGTTCAGGGTGCCGGGTTTAGGGTTTAGGGGGGGCTTGTTCAGGGCGAACGGTTGTAGGGTCGCAGGGTTTAGAGTTGAGGGTAGTGATTTGAGGCCACGAAGGCTTGGGCCTTGGTCCTGTGGGGCTCCCAGATCCGTCATCTCGGCTGAAACTGCAGTACACCCTTCACGGTGTTTGACCCTCTCCTTTGTGCTCAGATGGAACCAGGAAAACCCACAACTGTAAGCCCGAAGCCCTAACGGCCCAAAAAGTTTCAAAAAGGCTACAGCCGAAACCACAGTGGGAGGTAATATTAATCCCTCTATTACCCCCATAAGGAATATATTTTTTATTTTTGGGGGTTCTTGAGCAAATAGTTGGAAACCACAGTGGGAGGTGGTGCTCCACCGAACTCTGGAGCAGATCAGCACGCGCGAGCTGCACGCAGCTTGGCCTCACTGACTTCAAGTCGTAAGTGATGAGTCGACCTCGAAACCGTCGACTCGAACGCCCCGAGGGTTTGGAGCACGCAGTTTTTAGAGCAATTTGTTGTGTGGGTTTCAGAGGTTCAGAGCTTGAGGTCTTTCTAGCACTTCCATACTTAAGGATCATGGGACTTAGTAACTAAGGTAATAGTTAAGGTAACTATACTTATGACTACTTATAACCCCAATTAAGGTACCTATAACCGTACTTACTAAGTCCCATGATCCTTTAAGTACCGACCCAGACCATTTCATCACCTCTGCCTGTCTGGGCTTGAGCCATCGCAACCAAGGAAGGCGTATGGCAGGGAAAGGCCGCTCCAGATTCAGCGTTGCAGGATTTTCCTGCTAGGATCCTTCTCAGGTTTAGGGCTTAGGGTAAAGTACTTGAAGGAGTTTGGGACTTAGTAAGTAAGGTTATAATTACCTTAATTTCTGGTTATAAGTAGCTATAAGTATAGTAGTTACCCTAATTATAACCCTAGTTACTAAGTCCCATGATCCTTTAAGTACTACTATGGGATACCCTGAACCCTAAACCCAGGTTTATCGCGGAGCAGTATCGATACCGCTTCTCCCTTGCTTAAGTGAGTGCTAGCCCAATGCAAAGGGTTCAGGGTCTAAGAGGTTCCTCAGCTTCTGAAGTTCTTTCGGCAGAGAGCTTTGCAGTACTTTGCGTAATGTAGAAGACTGAGTTATAGGTTTATGTTCCATAGTTTGAATATATCATACCCCAAATTGGATCGAATTACTAAGGCCGCCATACTGGAAGATCCCTAGACCCTACGCCCTCCGGTAGAGTATCATTAACAACGTCTGCCAAAGGGAGGTGTTAGGGGGTTCATGGGTAGTTATAAGTGGATCCTAACTATATGGTATAACGGCATAACCCATATCAAGGGGCCTTATAGCTACCCCACTTTCAGCTTCCATGATCAGGGGCTTTGAGGCCAATGCCCTCTCGGAGAGAACCCACAAAAGCACCTAAAAACCTCGGTTCCTTGCTGGTACCCTTTTGCCCTTGTTGTTTTGTGGCTCCCTGACTACACTGAGACAAGGCAACAGGCATGGGGAACCTAGTGATCATAAGCTTGTTCAAGGCAATATCCCTACAGGAGGGTGTAGCTTTTAAGACTCATGTTTATGTGTCTGCGTGGGTCCCTCGACCCCTTCGAAAATCCGAGAGTTAGTGACCTTTGTTTGCATGGTGCCAGGATGCCCCAAGCACCCGTTGGTAGCACCCTTACAGTCTTCTTAGTGGGAGATACAAGGTTGCAGAAGATATCATTGGGGTGGGGGGGGTAGGTGTTCTGGAACAGTCAATCTTGAGCGGGGTAAATTTTCACCATATCGCGCATCGGACGGGAATCATTCGAAATGGGCTTTTCTGTATGTTTTGAGCCCAGAACCCTTACATCCCGTCTGCTGCCGGGAAACCTTGTCCGCGCTTTAAGCAGCCCGATGCCCCGTAGGCGATGAATATCCCCAATGCCAACCCCATCTTGCTTTCAGGTTATTGCTGAGATCGCTAGAGGCATTCCGCCCCTGACCCCCAAGCTCACCTCAAAGCCGAGACACCCCACTACACAATTTAACACACGTGCCTGAACGCCCGTTCCCCAATGAAACCCTTGGCATAATTCCGGCAAACGCCTTCAAAGCTTTTCATGAAGACCTGTGTAAAGCCGATACCTTTCTGCAAAAACTTCCAAGAATCCGACAAAAACGACTTTTCAATAAAGCCATAAAGACCCCACCCCAAACCTTAAGCCATAAACTTAAACCCTTTCCCAAAAGCCCTCAACTTCCCTAAGCCCTAAGCCCTTCGATCCCCAAGCTCCGGTCTAAGTCTTCAGGGTTCCCTTGGAAGAGCCTAAACATCTCTACTTGGAGGATCATGGGACTTAGTAAGTTTAAGGTTCCTTTAAGGGCCCCTCAAAGGGATCTATAGGGTTTAGGGATTAGGGTCTACTTGGGAGGATCATGGGACTTAGTAAGTAGGGTTATAAGTACCTTAATTGGGGTTATAAGTATAGTTACCCTAATTATAACCCTAGTTACTAAGTCCCATGATCCTTTAAGTAAACACATACACCGCAGGCCTCAGCGAAGCTTACATGCGTTATACAGCCTTAGCAAAATTCTCTAAGCAGGCACAAAAAACCCTGATCGAAAGCACCAGCATCATAAGAGGCCAAAAGGGGTTTTAGCCTGTGGGGGTTTAATAGGGATTAGGGTTCCCTTAATGAAGTTCATATTAAGGAATCCCTACCCCAAGACTCTTAACCCCCCCTTTTTTCTCCCATCACCGCACTGTCGGGTTTTCCCTGAAGGTCTCGTGCCTCCGGACCTATGGCTTTGGCCAGCCTTCCGAGGACTTCTTCAATGTCGAGGCAGGGCGGAAGAACTCCAGGCAGCACGCTCGCTGTGCAGCCGGAATGGTTTAGGAGAGCGCTGAAAAGGATCTAGGTCTAGGGCCCTTATAATCGTGCACTATCCCAGAAGGGCTTTGGGGTTCTGAATTGTAGACCCTAATCCCTAAACCCTATAGATTTCTTTAAGGATTTAATTAAGGAACCCTATAGTCGATAGATCCCTTTCTCAGGAGCCCTTTAAGGACCGGTACTAAGTCCCATGATCCTCCCAAGCTTAGACCCCAAACCCCATAGATCCCTTTAAGGAACCCTCTAGATCCCTTTAAGGAGCCCTGTAAGGAGCCCTATAGATCCCTTTAAGGAGCCCTTTAAGGAACCTAACTAAGTCCCATGATCCTCCGAACTACGGAGGTGGATCCCTTCGAAGGACGAAGAAACCAGGTCGGGAGCTCGGCGCGAAGGCTTTGGGTTTAGGGATTTAGGGGATTTAGGGCTTTAGGGTTTTAGAGATTTAGGGTTTTAGGGGTTTAGGGATTTAGGGCTTTCGGGGGGCTTGAAAGTTTTAGGGATTTAGGGCTTTAGGGTTTTAGGGATTTAGGGGTTTAGGGATTTAGGGCGGGTTTCGGGGGGCTTGAAAGTTTTAGGGATTTAGGGCTTTAGGGTTTTAGGGATTTAGGAATTTAGGCATTTAGGGATTTAGGGCGGGTTTAGGGGGGCTTGAAAGTTTTAGGGATTCAGGGGTTAGGGGGTTCAGGGCTTTAGGGATTTAGGGGTTTAGGGGGGATTGGATTTAGGGTTTAGGATTTATGGGTTTAGGGTTCAGGGGTTGGCGGGGTTTAGGGTTGAGGGTTTAGGGATTTAGGGTTTGGGGGTTCGGGGTTAGGGATTCTGTGAATTTAGGGATTTAGGGTTTAGGGGTTGGGGTTTAGGGTTTAGGGATTTAGGGGTTCAGGGGTTAGGGGTTAGGGATTCAGGGATTTAGGGTTTGGGGTTTAGGGGTTAGGGATTTAGGGTTTAGGGGTTAGCAGGGTTTAGGAGGGTTCAGAGTTTAGTGGTTAGGGCTTTAGGGTCTAGGCTATTTTGTTTAAGGTTCAGGTTTGGTTTCGTGTTTCAGCCGGCGTTGGAGAGCTTTGAGTTGGAGGCCTTCCAGGGTGAACCTGTGCCTTCAGGTCCAAGTTCTAGGATGCCCAGTGGGACCCTTATTCCCTTCTTGTTGTCCTAGGTTCCTTATAAAGTTACTCAATACCAAAAAGGGAGCCCTTTTTACTACAAGGTTACTGGGCATCCTAGAGTTATTGTAGTATAGAAGCCTGTAACAACACAG